CTTGTGTGTGGGTGTATGTGTGAGGGTGTGGGTGGGTGTGGGTGTGGGTGGGTGTGGGTGTGTGTGTGTGGGTGTACTCACCTAGTTGTACTCACCTAGTTGAGACAAGCTCCTGGCCTCGCCTCTTCACTGGTCGCTACTAGGTCACTCTCTCTGAACTATGAGCTTTATCATACCTCTGCTTGAAGCTATGTATGGATCCTGCCTCCACTACATCGCTTCCCAAACTATTCCAATTCCTGACTACTCTGTGGCTGAAGAAATACTTCCTAACATCCCTGTGATTCATCTTTGTCTGTGTATGTGCTTGTGTGTGTGTGTGTGTGGGTGTGTGGGTATGTGTGTGGGGGTGTACTCACCTATTTGTGGTTGCAGGGGTCGAGTCACAGCTCCTGGCCCCGCCTCTTCGCTGATTGCTACTAGGTCCTCTCTCTCCCTGCCTCATGAGCTCTATCATACCTCGCCTTAAAACTATGTATGGTTCCTGCCTCCACCACATCACTTTCTAGGCTATTCCATGGCCTGACTACTCTATGACTGAAGAAATACTTCCTAACATCCCTTTGATTCATCTGAGTCTTCAACTTCCAATTGTGACCTCTTGTGTCTGTGTCCCATCTCTGGAACATCCCGTCTTTGTCCACCTCGTCTATTCCGCGCAGTATTTTATATGTCGTTATCATGTCTCCCCTGACCCTCCTGGCCTCCAGTGTCGTCAGGCCGATTTCCCTCAACCTTTCTTCATAGGACAATCCCCGTAGCTCTGGGACTAGTCTTGTTGCAAACCTTTGCACTTTCTCTAATTTCTTGACGTGCTTGACTAGGTGTGGATTCCAAACTGGTGCTGCATACTCCAGTATGGGCCTGACGTAGATGGTGTACAGAGTCTTAAACGAATCCTTACTGAGGTATCGGAACGCTATCCGTAGGTTTGCCAGGCGCCCGTATGCTGCAGCAGTTATCTGATTGATGTGCGCCTCAGGAGATATGCTCGGTGTTATACTCACCCCCAGATCTTTTTCCTTGAGTGAGGTTTGCAGTCTTTGGCCATCTAAACTATATTGTGTCTGCGGTCTTCTTTGCCCTTCCCCAATCTTCATGACTTTGCATCTGGCAGGGTTAAATTCAAGGAGCCAGTTGCTGGACCAGGCTTGTAGCCTGTCCAGATCTCTTTGTAGTCCTGCCTGATCCTCGTCCGATTCGATTCTTCTCATTAACTTCACATCATCTGCAAACAAGGACACTTCTGAGTCTATCCCTTCCGTTATGTCGTTCACGTATACCAAGAACAGCACAGGTCCTAGGACTGACCCCTGTGGAACCCCGCTTGTCACAGGCGCCCACTCTGACACCTCGTCGCGTACCATGACTCGTTGTTTCCTCCCTGTCAGATATTCTCTGATCCATTGCAGTGCCTTTCCTGTTATGTGTGTGGGTGTATGTGTGGGTATGTGTGTGGGTATGTGTGTGGGTGTGTGGGTGTGGGTGTGTTGTTAGTAGTGTGAACCTGCGCATCAAATTATTTACTGGAACTTTCTCACTACGTCACCAGTAATATATTAATAATATCTTTATTTACTACAAGTACATGTACAAGGTATACAGACCATAGTTGACATCAGTGACATACTACTATATAGAAAGCCTCTTGTTATGCTGAGCATTTCCCGTAAATTAGGTCAGTTTTGTCCCAGGATGCGACTGGAGTTTACCTGGAGAGAGTTCCGGGGATCAACGCCCCCGCGGCCCGGTCTGTGACCAGGCCTCCTGGTGGATCAGAGCCTGATCAACCAGGCTGTTACTGCTGGCTGCACGCAAACCAACGTACGAGCCACAGCCCGGCTGGTCAGGTACCGACTTTAGGTGCTTGTCCAGTGCCAGCTTGAAGACTGCCAGGGGTCTGTTGGTAATCCCCCTTATGTATGCTGGGAGGCAGTTGAACAGTCTCGGGCCCCTGACACTTATTGTATGGTCTCTTAACGTGCTAGTGACACCCCTGCTTTTCATTGGGGGGATGTTGCATCGTCTGCCAAGTCTTTTGCTTTCGTAGTGAGTGATTTTCGTGTGCAAGTTCGGTACCAGTCCCTCTAGGATTTTCCAGGTGTATATAATCATGTATCTCTCCCGCCTGCGTTCCAGGGAGTACAGGTTCAGGAACTTCAAGCACTCCCAGTAATTGAGGTGTTTTATCTCCGTTATGCGTGCCGTGAAGGTTCTCTGTACATTTTCTAGGTCAGCAATTTCACCTGCCTTGAAAGGTGCTGTTAGTGTGCAGCAATATTCCAGCCTAGATAGAACAAGTGACCTGAAGAGTGTCATCATGGGCTTGGCCTCCCTAGTTTTGAAGGTTCTCATTATCCATCCTGTCATTTTTCTAGCAGATGCGATTGCTACAATGTTATGGTCCTTGAAGGTGAGATCCTCCGACATGATCACTCCCAGGTCTTTGACGTTGGTGTTTCGCTCTATTTTGTGGCCAGAATTTGTTTTGTACTCTGATGAAGATTTAATTTCCTCTTGTTTACCATATCTGAGTAATTGAAATTTCTCATCGTTGAACTTCATATTGTTTTCTGCAGCCCACTAAAAGATTTGGTTGATATCCGCTCACACCAGTCCATTAACAACCAGGTACTCATTTTAAACTGATGGGTCAACAGTGTAGTACCACAACACCCCAGTCCTTCAGCTGTGTTACCACTGTACGTAGAGACAAGTACCTCATCTCTGAAGTGACCTTCCCTGTGACTGCTACCCACCACAACAACGGAAATAAGTCACCTTGACTTTTTTGGGTTATCCTGGGCTGCCCACACAAATGCTGCTATGTATGATACTTTATGATGGTGCATTTGTATATACCTGAATATCAATTGAAAATATTTTAATCACAAATATAAGCGTACTGAGATCACAGTGAACTTTCCATACCCCGGGCGGGGATAGAACCCGCGATCAGTCTCAAAACTCCAGACCGTGGTGTTAACCACTGGACCAGCTGATTGCGGGTTCTATCCCCGCCCGTGGTATTGTTTGTTTGCAATCGTGTCATTACGATTTCGTGAGACAGTGAACTTTGTGTATGTATATATATATATATATTTTCCGAAGCTATAGCGCCTAATAGATGTTTAATGTGTCGATATGAGTCAAAAATGTATTTGACATTAGAGTAGAACCAAGAGTTCCCTTTGCGCATGCGCGGATGTGCGGGGGGGAGAGGCGGATTGTTTTGAATGTGGTGAGGAAGCTGGGAAAGCATGGAACCATGAAATTGGCATTCACGGCGGCCTAAGGATTAATATAGGCCTCATTTCATAATAAGAAGTGTCGTAACTGTTCCTGGTGGAGAGTGAGGGAACGTGATTTACGGGACCACGGTAATAGAGTGGTAAAATGTGTGATAAGAGTAGGACCGGGTGACTGACGCGTCACTATGGACTGTGTCCTGGGGAAAATTACCCTTGGTTTAATCATCACTCATCGGTCTCAGATCTTAATGGAGTGGTCTCTAATGTGTATAATAATTATGAGACGTTAAATCGTCTTGTGAATGTTAATGTAATCAGTGATAATAACATTGAGTTAAGAGAATGCGGGATGTGAAATAAGTCGCCTTGCTCCGAGTGAACACGTTAGACCTTGTTCCCGAGGCGAGGAAAGTGAAGCTCATTGATCCACGATTTCTAAACCGGGACAAACCGACGGATACCTCGTCCTGCCGGAATGAGAACCGTGTCGGTGTAGCAGGACATCGAAAATGAGATGGTGAATGGAAGAAATAAGGAGTATCCATCACCCACAGTTAAGTAACCCTTCTAGTTATAACAAACTTATGCTGGCCAGTTGTGTTATGTTGTAATTAGATAGGTTATGAGTGATCCAGCTACATCAAGTGACCACCAGAGAACATCTGGTAAGTGGTGGGATTATGTACAAATGTTTTCCTTGATGGATGTATCCAGGTGTATCCTACCCCCCCCCCTTCATTCAGCTAAACTAATATAATCTATACAGTCCACAATTAATTAGTAGCACCGTACTTGTGGGTGCTATCCAATCCATACTGGTCTCGGATAGATATGGATAAGATTGTGAGGTCGAGGGGACCACTTGCCGTGACCAGGGGTGGTTAAGTTTTCTCTCACATGTCTACACGGGGTGACTACGGTAAACAATATGATTGTCTCCCAATGAGATTACTGGTATGTATATAATGTTGAGGTACATACAGGTAAGCACCCTAGAAAATTTTCCATATATATATATATATATATATATATATATATATATATATATATATATATATAGACACATACATCATCACATGCTATGTTACTCTCAGTATTCAAATTCAGTTTTGTTTGGTATATACAATGTGTAGTATAAACGTAATATTAAGCGCAAAAACCATTAATATGCTGTGTATTTCATATACACAAGATATACACATCAGGTTATATACAAATTGGTGTAGGATTGTGTAGTGAAAATAAAATGTATATATCCTTATAATTAATTTTTAACGGGAAGCACTAAACTCGTAGGAGTGACGCAGCTAGACGGTCAGTGATCACGTTTCACAATACATGTAACTTACATATTATAATTTTCTTGTAAATTAAGGTACAGAATTATTTTTTTTCGCCTCGAACGGCGGTTATTATAATAAAAAAAAGAAGCGCTAAACCACAAGGGTTGTCCGGCGGTTTGTGAATAATTTGGGTCACTGTTTCTGTATATACATATGTCTTTTCAGGTATGTTTTTTTTTATATTTCAACAGTTTGTGGTTCATTTGCGACACCATTACTGTATAATATATACATATACCTTTCTAGGTATATTTTATATATTAAAACACACGGTTTGTGGTCAAATTGCAACACCATTACCATAAACAGATGCCTTTCAAGGTACATGTATATATTTAAACCCAGACGCTCAGTATATACATATACACACGAACACTTTCAACATTGATCAATGGTTGTTATTCACTTGTAATACGTTATATCCACTAATTTTTTCCAGTTTACTAAAAGGGATAATATTATATAGTGCGACAAGTGCAGCGCTTGATGGTGTCGACTCTACTGGTCAACATTGCCAAGTCTCCAAGTTTATATATATATCCTGCCCATCTTCTTTGTTTTATTGTACACATTTTCTTCACTCACACATACTGTATGACACTGTGGGTTTAGAGCTTACTTATGATTATAGTAATTCACTCACAAATGTCGGCCGTTAAAAAAAAAAATCGTGGGGAAGCGCTAAACCCGTAGGATTATACAGCGCATGATTAGATTCACCCCTAGGTCGTTTATATATATATATATGTCGTGCCGAATAGGCAGAACTTGCGATCTTGGCTTAAATAGCAACGCTCATCTTGCCATATAGGACAAGTGAAAATTTGTGTATGCAATAATTTCGCCAAAATCATTTTGAACCTAACGAAAAAAATATATTTCACTGTGTTTGTTTAGTATTAAATTACTGTAAACAAATCTAAAATATATTTAGTTGGGTTAGGCTAAAATAAATTGTTCTTGTTATAATAAGGTTAGGTAAGTTTTCTAAGTTCCTTTTGGTGCAAAATTATAAATTTTTACACCAACAGTAATGAAAAAAATATATCTTTAAACGAATAAGAGAAAATTTTAGAAAGGACTTAATTTTAAATGAGTTCTTGCTAATTGACCAGTTTTACATATTCGGCACGACATATATATATATATATATATATAATATATATATATATATATATATATATTATATATATATATATATATATATATATATATATATATAATGCAAAACAACCACAGGGGGAGTTGAGTGATAGCTCTAGGCCTTTGATGTTAGAATCAACACATCATCAGGAGCTTACAATGTTGCAGAAATGTGTAGGAAAGTCCAGGCAGATTCGTTCAAGGGCACATTTTTGTTCCTTCTTGAAGACAGCCAGAGGTCTACTGGTAATCCCCCTTATGTATGTTGGGAGGCTGTTGAGCAGTCTTGGGCACCTGACACTTAGTGTTGTCTGTTAGCGTATTCATGGCACTCTTGCTTTTCATTGGGGGGGGATGTTGCACTGCCTACTGAGTCCTTTGCTTTAGTAGGGAGTGAGTTCCATGTGCTGACTTAGGACTAGTCACAGAAGTGATAGGTTGATGAATTAAGACAGTTGGGTATCTTTATTATGGAAACAGCCAACCAGTGCCTTCTTAAGTCCAATACAGAGAAGAATAGTGGATGATCAATCTTTTCATGATTGATGGACTATTCACATCGACTCCAGGTTGAGGGACTGATTACCTTGAGCTCCTTCTGATCTTCCACATTCTTCCCAATACTGGATTGAAGAAGCCACTGGTTGGCAAAGAATCCACACAAAAAAGATACCCAAGTTTGTAGCAAGCCGCTAACCAGACTGAGAGTCGAAGATCAAAATGAATTTTTTATGAGAGAGCCACAAAATTTGATTAACACAAGCCTATCCGATGTTATCCTGACGCCAAATGACTTCGAACAGGCGATAAATGACATGCCCATGCACTCTGCCCCAGGGCCAGACTCATGGAACTCTGTGTTCATCAAGAACTGCAAGAAGCCCCTATCACGAGCCTTTTCCATCCTATGGAGAGGGAGCATGGACACGGGGGTCGTCCCTCAGTTACTAAAAACAACAGACATAGCCCCACTCCACAAAGGGGGCAGTAAAGCAACAGCAAAGAACTACAGACCAATAGCACTAACATCCCATATAAAAATCTTTGAAAGGGTCCTAAGAAGCAAGATCACCACCCATCTAGAAACCCATCAGTTACACAACCCAGGGCAACATGGGTTTAGAACAGGTCGCTCCTGTCTGTATCAACTACTGGATCACTACGACAAGGTCCTAAATGCACTAGAAGACAAAAAGAATGCAGATGTAATATATACAGACTTTGCAAAAGCTTTCGACAAGTGTGACCATGGCGTAATAGCGCACAAAATGCGCGCTAAAGGAATAACAGGAAAAGTCGGTCGATGGATCTATAATTTCCTCACTAACAGAACACAGAGAGTAGTCGTCAACAGAGTAAAGTCCGAGGCAGCTACGGTGAAAAGCTCTGTTCCACAAGGCACAGTACTAGCTCCCATCTTGTTCCTCATCCTCATATCCGACATAGACAAGGATGTCAGCCACAGCACCGTGTCTTCCTTTGCAGATGACACCCGAATCTGCATGACAGTGTCTTCCATTGCAGACACTGCAAGGCTCCAGGCGGACATCAACCAAATCTTTCAGTGGGCTGCAGAAAACAATATGAAGTTCAACGATGAGAAATTTCAATTACTCAGATATGGTAAACATGAGGAAATTAAATCTTCATCAGAGTACAAAACAAATTCTGGCCACAAAATAGAGCGAAACACCAACGTCAAAGACCTGGGAGTGATTATGTCGGAGGATCTCAACTTCAAGGACCATAACATTGTATCAATCGCATCTGCTAGAAAAATGACAGGATGGATAATGAGAACCTTCAAAACTAGGGAGGCCAAGCCCATGATGACACTCTTCAGGTCACTTGTTCTATCTAGGCTGGAATATTGCTGCACTCTGACAGCACCTTTCAAGGCAGGTGAAATTGCCGACCTAGAAAATGTACAGAGAACTTTCACGGCGCGCATAACGGAGATAAAACACCTCAATTACTGGGAGCGCTTGAGGTTTCTAAACCTGTATTCCCTGGAACGCAGGAGGGAGAGATACATGATTATATACACCTGGAAAATCCTAGAGGGACTAGTACCGAACTTGCACACGAAAATCACTCACTACGAAAGCAAAAGACTTGGCAGACGATGCACCATCCCCCCAATGAAAAGCAGGGGTGTCACTAGCACGTTAAGAGACCATACAATAAGTGTCAGGGGCCCGAGACTGTTCAACTGCCTCCCAGCACACATAAGGGGGATTACCAACAGACCCCTGGCAGTCTTCAAGCTGGCACTGGACAAGCACCTAAAGTCAGTTCCTGATCAGCCGGGCTGTGGCTCGTACGTTGGTTTGCGTGCAGCCAGCAGCAACAGCCTGGTTGATCAGGCGCTGATCCACCAGGAGGCCTGGTCACAGACCGGGCCGCGGGGGCGTTGACCCCCGAAACTCTCTCCAGGTAAACTCCAGGTAAGTGTTGCACAATGTCTAATTCATCAAGACACCTTATTTTATGGGGAAAAACACCCCCAGGGTTGGGGTGCTTTTCCCCATAAGCTGAACAAATGGGGAATTCTTCCTGTAAACTCTCTCACCATGAAACGTGTTATTTATCAGTTCATGAAAGACAATGTTACAACACATACTCTCAGGCACACCATTTAAAGGGTACCAGAGTGTACAGATCACACAGACCTTGGGAAACAAACCAGGGTAACCAAAAACCACTCCATAAAAGAATTTTTTTAGTGCCTGAAATCCATTGCACACCAGTGGGTTTATTTTGTGACCACCAATGTTGTATCACATGTAAACTACATTAATTTTTACCACATAAAGAAATAAAAAACTGTACAAGCAGGCCCTGCTTATACAGCAGTTTTCAATTACAGTGGTACCCTGAGTTTCGAACTGCTCCCAACTCGACCAATTATGTAAGTGTATTATTGTAAGTGCTTTTGTAAGTGTATTTTTGGGGTTCTGAAAAGGACTAATCTAATTTACATTATTCCTTATGGGAACAAATTCGTTCGGTAACGGCACCTGAACAGCCTTCTGGAATGAAGTAAGTTCGAAACTCAAGGTACCACTGTATATCCATTCTTCATTTATTCAGACTTTCTACAATAAACATATTCACAACTCACTATAAGCTAAGGACTAAAATATATTAAGGTAAGTAATGTGTGTACTGTATATGCATTTTTTAGGCCTAGCTCTATTGCTCACTTAATATATGATAGTGTAAACATGTTATCAGGCTTTTATATACGTATATACATTTGAGAGTCAAAAAAAAAAAAAAAATAGCCTGGAACCTAACCTGCTGTATAAGCAGGGCCTACCTGTACAACAGTAGCCTGGAACCTAACTTTCTGTATAAGCGGGGTCCTTCTGAAGACACAGCACAGAGTTGGTGAACGAGACTGCACCAGCTGGCCAGGTATAAGACCAGGTATGTGCTGAAGTATGAATTTCAGTGCAATGAGAATGATTCTCTAAATCAACAAGTTGAAGATTGATTGACTGAACACATCGACTCCTTATCTTCCACTGTTATTCTCTGTACTGGACTGAAGAAGCCACTGGCTGGCAAAACATTTCCTCAATAAAGATTATCATTTGTTGCACAAGGGTCTCATTCTTCGAGTCATAAGTATCAGTAGTCATTGTCTTCATTTGGTGGAATCAATATTAGTATCGACTAATTTGGAGAGCACCAGTGGATGTCAGCTAATTTTTATGGTATTGGTATCGGCCTAAAATTGCATACAGTATAGGGAAAAAAATTCATACTGTCCCATAACTAATTAAGGCCCATGCATGATGAACTATTGTGTATGCAAATTCTCCCACCTCCCTCATTATCTCCAATACTATTCTGTGACCCACATACGTTTGGCTAGAAAAAGCTTTTATTTTTTTTTTTGGCTTTTTCACACACCAGCCATCTCCCAATGATGCAGGGTGATCCAAAAAAAAAAAACCACTTTCATCATTATTCACACTATCACTGTCTTGCCAGAGGCAAGCAGATTAAAGATTAAAGTTTTTATTTCTTTGCAAAGGTTGCAGTGTGTAATTCCCTTTTTGATTTGTTAAGCACAAAGAAAACCACTATCATGCCAGGGCATTTCAGGCACACTAATCTTAGTACATAATAACTACTTAAGTCTAGACAAGATAAGAGTGGTTAACTTTTTAATAAATCTTTACTTTATCTTAATACTGACCAGTGTCGAGGTTGGGAGACTACTCTCTCCCGTCTTCGCATTGGCCATACTCGTCTTACTCATGGATATCTCATGGAGAGGCGCCCTGCTCCTCTCTGTGAGAATTGCCAAGTTCCATTATCAGTCAGCCACATTCTGTTGGATTGCCCACTTTATCAACGAGCACGCAGAATTTACCTCCGTCGTCGTCTCTGCTCTGCTGCTCTCTCTCTACCTTCCCTTCTTGCTGATGGACCCACCTTTCATCCGGACTCTCTCATTGACTTTTTGACAACAACTGACTTACTTCACAAATTCTGATACCTTCAGCCCTTTCTACTTCAATCTCTTGCTACCCTCTACCCCCGTACTATCCCCTGCCCCGCTGTTTTCTGTAACCTACTGATCATCCCTCCTCCCTTCTGCCATCCAATACCCTCGCTTCCTTCCCTACCCTGCAGCGCTGTATAGCCCTTGTGGCTTAGCGCTTCTTTTTGATTATAATAATAATAATATCTTAATACTGATGTGAGGTAGTCAAGGTGGAGGTTTATAAGAATAATAATCTTGCAGTTGCACATAATAAAAACAATATTACAATTAATGGTTCAAATAGTAATATTTCATGGATTGGCAGATGTTTAATAGACTAGAGGTCATATAATATAATATTTGGGAGAAGTGCTTCAAACTGATTAGAAGTTGTTTTGCTTAGTATTGAGAGATGAGATGATTTTTAAGCATAGCCCTAAATTTATATGTAGTCAAGGGATCCTTAACTGGTTCAGGTAGTGAATTCCAGATCTTTGGGCCCTTTATCTGCATTGCATTTTTGCATAGTGTGAGATTGACACGAGGGATGTCGAAGAGTGCCTTGTGCCTTGTATTGTGATTGTGCGTTCTGTTGCTCTCCTATCTGTCGGTTATTTGTGTGTGTAAAGGTCAGAGTGACAGTATCTAACATCAGTTGATTTTTATACTATATTAGTTGTGTAGATAAATGGTTCAGAGAACTAACAAGTTGATGAATTAGACACATATGTAACACTTGGGTATTTTTATTGAGGAAATGTTTCACCATGCAATGGCTTCATCAGTCCTAAACAAAGAAGAATGGTCAAAATCAGAGGGAGTTTGAGGTAATCAGTCCCTCTGCATGGAGTCGATGTAATCAATCCATCAGTCTTAAAAGAATACGGAATATGCGCGAAGAAGTGGCTCATATACTACAGGTAACTGAGGTGAAATGGTAATAGGTGATATCACAGTGGACAAGTCCACATGTGGAACTAGATCATGCCTATATGTTAGGTAAGTGAAAAACTCCCTGTATCAAGATCCCAAGTATTGTATATATACCTATATTAGTTTTATTGTAACTGTTGAGTACAAAGTCATGTCTTGAGATTTTGAAAAAAATCATCAGGCTGAAATTTGTGAGTAAAACACCACTACATATTTAATTATTATTTATGAATTTAATATTCTGCAAATTCTACATCACTGACAATCAGAGTTTTTCATCCTCATAGAGAGAGGCTATACCCCTTCGTCCCTCAATTATGGAATTAGTAGCCCCAGGAGAAGGAAGAGAGGAGTCAAGACCCTGCCATGTTCGTCCCTTCAGGACCTCTCCCCCACCACCGATATGTAAGGCAGCAACTGTCTGTCCATCATGAAGCATCACAGCACCTGTACTGTTGTCTAGTGCTGCATCATCTCTGAAACAAAGCATAAATGAAACTAATCAATATCGAGAGTATCGTCTGATATCAGTGTTGTTTTTTCAACAAACTGGCCATCTCCCATCAACGAAGGATGACCACCACCAAGGCAGGGTGGCCACTACAGAAGCAGGGTGACTACCACCGAGGCAGGGTGACCACCACCAAGACAGGGTAACCACCACCGTGGCAGGGTGACCACCAAGGCAGGGTGACCAAAACCGAGGCAGGGTGACCACCACCAAGGCGGGGTGACCACCACCTAGGCAGGGTGGCCACCGAGGCAGGGTGACCAAAACCGAGGCAGGGGTGACCACCACTGAGGCAGGGTGACCACCAAGGCAGGGTGACCAAAACCGAGGCAGGGTGACCACCACCGAGGCAGGGGTGACCACCACTGAGGCAGGGTGACCATCAAGGCAGGGTGACCACCACCAAGGCAGGGTGACCACCAGCAAGGCAGGGTGACCACCACCTAGGCAGGGTGACCACCGAGGCAGGGTAACCCAAAAAAGAAGAAAGCTAGCGAGCTTTTCTTCTTTTTACATTTAGTAATTTATACCAGAGATGAGGTTACTAGCACCTTGCTTCTGACATTTTAGTTATTGGCTTATGAAGGAAGGATTCTTCTCCACTTCCCCATGGAGATCAGTGTTATTATACACATGAAATTAGACTTGATTTATGTATAGGTACAGGTTAATCATTTAATTTTACATAGAATAGTATGGCAATGTACACTGTGACCCCCATCAGTTTGTGAAATTTTGTGAATGTAATATAAAAACTGGTAAATTAGGTAATCTGTGAAAACTCACCGTATGCCTAGAGTTTGAGTTTTATTGGTTATTAAGGATACATTAACTTCTTCACTTCTTTGTTTACTGGTAACCTCAATATACCGAGTTCCTCCAGGAAGCAACTGCCTGAAATCCGTTTCAAAAGCAAGACTCCACTCCTGCCCTGCCAGTAATGCCACTTCCAACTCCCAGGGCATTATGAGCTTCTTATAGAGTGCTGGATCTGTGCTGCGTTCAACCACTGATGTCTCAGGACATGCCACATACACAAAGATATCCACTTCAGAGATATTAGCTAATTTGGGTTCGTTAGGTTTCCCAACGACAAATGTGTAACACCTCTTGCCTGCTGCTTTGATTATAGCTTTGAGTTTTGAAATAATATGCTGATAGTCAGCAACTCCCAAAGTGCCTATTAATATTCCAACAATTTCAGCATCCTTAGCCATTTCTAGCTTTGCACTGCGATTCATAACCATACGAACACCAGAGGTGACCTCTACTGACCCATCATCTGGGTTGACACAATAAAATGTATTCTCACAAAACCTCAACAATAAACTGTTAACTGTTGGTCCAGCAGGTCCAAGATAAATAAAATGGTAATCTTTAATATCAGAGCCGCTGGGTAAACACACAAAACGGTTATTGAATGACAGTCTGTTAGCACAGTCTTCAGCAGCATTACTGTTGTGGTAAAGCTGGCTCCCACATTCACAAGTAATCACACTGTCTTGACAACTGTCTCCATATGTAGAAGAAACTTGATTTTGATCATTTTTGGAAATGTTTTCAATTTCAAATGAAGTTTTTGAGTTGATACCATTTAACAAGTGCCCAACACTACAGTTATATTCGCTGGTGAGCAGGAAAGTTGCAGTTATAAGATGTGGGAAGCTCCTCTGTAACTTTTCTGTGATCCCACCTGTACAAAATATAAAGTAAGAACATGATTGGTATATTAAGTGGCTTAATGTTTCTAGTTGAACAAAATATATGTCAAAAGAAGATTATTTCAGCCCTGGGTAGCAGACTAATGGTCTCCAGTCAAATTATATAAGCAGTACCATCAGCTACTTTGATAGCTTCATTATACAGTTGGGGAAGTGGTCAAAAAATTACTTTTTTAACACACTCGCCATCTCCCACCGAGGTAGCGGGACTTGATAAAGAAGAAACACTTTCACTATCACTCATTCAATCACTGCCTTGCCTGAATCATGCTAGCATCACAATTCAGACGGCCTTCCAAACTGTAATAACCCCACCTCTCCTTCCAGGACTCAACTTCACCTAACTAGTTTCCCTGAATCCCTTCATAAATGCTACTTTGTCTGCGCTTCAAAAGATTACAGAGATACATAATAGATCCAGTTATGAAAAGATAATGATAAAGATTTTATTTCTTTGTAAAGGTTACAATGTGTAATTACAATTTTGGTTTGCTAAGTACAAAGAAAGCCAATGTCATGCCAGGGCATTTCAGGCAGACTAATCTTAGTACATAATAACTACTTAAGTCTAGATAAGATAAGAGTGGTTAACTTTTATTAAGCTCTTTATTTTATCTTAATACTGATGCAAGGTAGTCAAGGTGGAGGTTTATAAGAATAATAATCTTGAAATTGCACATAATAAAAACAGTATTACAAGTAATGGTTCAAACAGTAATATTTCATGGATTGGCAAATGTTTAATAGACTAGAGGTCATATAATATAATATTTGGGAGAGTGCTTCAAACTGATTATTGGTTGATTTAGTTAGTATTGAGAGAGGAGCTGGTGGGCTACAACATTCTATTAACTCAACTAATTTAAGCAGCAATGAACCATGAAAACACCTCCTTTCCCTAATATATCCTAACAACAATTAAATATGATAAATCTGTTAAAAATGTGTTAAATATGCTAAACAATTCTTTCAACCACAAATATGTTAAAAACTATATACAGTGGACCCCCGGTTTACGATATTATTTCATTCCAGAAGTATGTTCAGGTACCAGTACTGACCGAATTTGTTCCCATAAGGAATATTGTGAATTAGATTAGTCCATTTCAGACCCCCAAACATACACATACAAACGCACTTACATAAATACACTTACATAATTGGTCGCATTGGGAGCTGATCGTAAACCAGGGGTCCACTGTATTCTTATTCTCATTACTCATAATTATAATTCAACTTTAAAGAAATAATTGTCTGTTTGTTTGTTCTCTTTGTAATGCTTGAATTTGTTTGTATACCTTTAACCCCTTGACTGTCGCAACCCCAAATCCTGAGGTGTCTCCTGGTGTTGCAGAAATTTAAAAAAAAAATTATTTTTTTTTCTTATGAAATGATACAGAATCTTTTCCAGATAGTAATGACACCAAAAGAACGAAATTTAATGGAAAACTGACGGACTTACGCTCTCGCGAAGTTAGTGACCTCGGTGATATTTACGAATTGGCGATTTCGCCCACTTTGAGCCCTATTTTCGGCTAATTCCGTTGTTCCAGTGGACCAAACTCATAGCTATTTCTTTAGAACTTCATTTTTTCTATCGATTGAGTACAAGAAACCTCCCATTTACTGATTTCAACTACCCAGTAAAGTGGTCAGAAATTTGCAATTTGGCCAATTTCACGAAAATTAAAAAATATGAATTTCAAAATAGGGTCCAGAATGAACAATGCAGACATTCCTGGCTCTAAAATAACATTTTCTTTGTTCATCAGTCACGTCTTCAGGCCCCTCTGATATTACTCTTGCTTTCTATTTTGAATTTTTATTCAAACAAAAAAATAGAAGATTTACTGTTATGAAGACTACTGCAATACTGTAATAATTGTATAAATAATGTCAACCCATTCATGACTGCATATTAGAATGGCTACTTGAACATTTATTGGAAAATGACATCATTTGTTTACTTTTGAACATTGGCAAATATCAAACATTTCCCCTAATTTGAGCTCCATTTCCAGGTTCTTTTATAGTAAAACCAATCAAAATCACCTCTATTTTCTATAATATGTTTTCCATTCTATCAAATGAGACCAAGAAAACGAGAATATAACCATAAATACTATACGAAAATAGACCACAAAGTCGGCATTTTAATTAAAAAAACGGTTAGTTTTTTTTTTTTCTCATTATGCAATGCTTGCTGCAGGATTTTTTTATATGGTGCACACTGACCACACAGACCCATTCTCTCACATGTGGGCCTACCAGCTTTCTCCTGCTTAATTTGAAGCCGCTAGAATTTATGAGTATATATACATCAAAAACGGTAGCTCGTAAGACATATATATATATGACCAAAACAGTCAAAGGTTAATGTCCTTATATATAAAAGCAAAGAATAGTTATTGCCACTGTAATCATAAGTTAGGCTTAAGCTTGCTTGAAATGTTCAAACTTTCTGCATGTACAATTAAATGTCACCCATCTCTGGTAGTCTACTCTACTGCTACACCTGCTTACTACCACTCCTTGAATACTGTACTGTTTTCCTATTATTTCTTCCTTTTTACTGTCTCTTCCCTACTATATGCTACTGAAATTTTCACAGAATAATATCAATCGATTAAGAAATCCAGTTAGCCAAACGTGAGTTTCGGAATTGTGAAAAACTGCAAAATGCTTGCACTAAACCATGATGTTTGTACCTTCTGGAAAGACAGTTGCAGGATAAGTAATGGTCAGTTTAGGTTTTGTTTTGAGGCACCTTGTCTTTGTAGCTGGTAAGTTAAGAACTAAAGAACAAAAAGGCACAACATCACAGTCTAATATTCTTTCACTAGTGCACTGATATTATTTATACCATTTTTACAATAATGCAGTAGTCTGCATAACAGTAAATCTTCTGTTTTTGTGTGAATAAAAAATCAAAATAGAAAGCAAGAATAATATAAGGCGGGTCTGGAGACATGACTAATGAACAGAGGATATGTTATTTTTAGTGCCAAGAATGTCTGCATTGTCTATTCTGGACTATATTTTGAAACTGGCATCTTTTTTAATTTGCATGAAATTGGCAAGTTTTTTTACTCAACTGATAGAACAAATGGAGTTGTAAAGAAATAGCTATGAGTTTGGTCGACTGAAACAATGGAATTTGCCGAAAATAGGGCTCAAAGTCGGCAAAACCGCCGATGCGTATATATTGCTGAGATCACTAACTTCGCAGGAGCGTAATTCTGTAAGTTTTTGATCAAATTTCGTACTTTTAATGTCATTACCATCAGGAAAAGATTCTCTATCATTTCATAAGAAAAAATAATTTTTTTTTTCCAAAAATTTTTCGACACCAGGAGACACTTCAGGATTTGGGGTTGCGACTGCCAAACGGTTAATAAATGTCCTAAATTGGACATGACCACAACACAAGACACAGATCTCTCTTTGATATACCTCGTGTCCATATCACACTGTGTAAAAACTCTATGCACATAAAGGGCCCCAAAATATGGAATTCATTACCAGAAGATATTAAAGTAACCCAGTCTGAAAATCAATTTAAGACTCTTCTCAAAAGCCACTTAATCACCTTAGACTAAATGCTAAATACTCAGTACACATTTAGTCACCTATGTATTCCCACATCATAATTTTCAACAATCACTTTGAACCTTTTATCCATTATTGACAGGAATATAATTGAATCATTGTTTTTCACAAAAGCATTTTAGAATATAAATACGTATATCTTTGTATTATACAAATTTTGATTCATTTATAATTAATATTCTACTGTACAATAATGTTAAGTTGGCCCATAATGACTAGTTTTAATAGAGGCTCTCTTTGTATTGCAACCCACTATTGTATATACACAATCTCAATGTGCTGTTTGCAAAGACATTAAATATATGAATAAATAAATAAATAAATAAATTAAAAACCATTTGTCTCCATTCACTCCTATCAAATACACTCACACACGCTTGCTGGAAGTCCAAGCCCCTCACACACAAACTTCCTTTACCCCCTCCCTCCAACCCTTCCTAAGCTGACCCCTACCCTGCCTTCCCTCCACTACAGATTTATACACTTTCGAAGTCATTCTGTTTTGTTCCATTCTCTCTACATGTCCGAACCACCTCAACAACCCCTCCTCAGCCCTCTGGATAATAGTTTTGGTAATCCCGCACCTTCTCCTAATATCCAAACTACAAATTCTCTGCATTATATTCATTATATTTTAGTTGTACGTGTATGGTATACTATACCAACAAGATGAAGAATTAGACACATGTACAACATCTGGGTATCTTTACTGAAGACGTTTCACCATCCAGTGACTTTATCAATACAAGGACATAATGGGAAGACTGTAGAACTATATACAAAAGATGAGGTAATCAGTCCCTCAGTCTTTGAGTTGGTGAAGAGCACCTTAGTCTTGAAGAATGTGAAGCACAGGGGAAGACTGGTACTTATATACTGGCATCGGGTGAAGGAAATTGCAACGATAAAGGGCATGTCACTGGTGGTCACACTCCCCATGGGGGTAGGTTATACCAAAGGGAGGGGCCGGGGATAATAAGAAGGTAATAAATGCCAGCTTCCTCCCTGGTTTCAGATTCTTCAAGACTACATGATTTTCACCCCCTCCAAGGCTGAGGGACGACTGCCTTGTCTTTTGTTATTTTTTCTACAATTTTTTCCCATTATGTCCTTGTATTTGTATTTTATAAAACTACTGGATGGGAAACTCTACAAAAAAGACACCCCATGTTGCACAGTTCCAATTTTCACAGTTAATTTTAACTAAAATTTTTTCAATTTGTCTGTTTGGGGGGAGAGAATGAAGGGATTCAGGGGAAACTGGTTACTGGGCAAATCCCGGAGGTGGAAATACATGCCTCACTGGGAAGGGGGCGGCAAGTATGTTTTCAGATCAAGAGTCATCTGAACTGTGAAGTCAGCA